AACGTGTGTATAATTACATGTAGATGCCTGAAATAAGGTCTAAGCTCAAGAGATTTGCAGGTTTCCTTTCACGCATTTGTGTCTTTAAACGACGAATTCTAGCAAGTGATCAACTGAGATGCTAAATGTCATCACGCAAAACATTAGCCACCTTTAGCTGAGCGCTAACATAAAGTCATGCGACTGTTATGTAGTTCGTTGATAGGCTTTTAGGCTTCTGGCGATTGCTTTTACAAAGTGGTGTTAAGATGTGGAGATTATCCTGCTAAACTAAACGTGTAAGTATCATAAACATTTGACCTGTTAACGTTTGCCACAAAGCTTATTTCCCCCAATATACTGAAATCCAATGGAAAAATCACATTGGCGTTTTGTAGAGCGAGCCCTTGCGATGCTAACTTCCGTGTCGGACTACAAAGACACGTCATCACTGAACCACCTTATTGGTTTAATGCAAAGTTATCAGGATCTAAGGATAGAATATCAGACTGAAGAAAACTGCAGACAAAATCTGGTCTGTTAAGCAAAATAGATGAAATGACAAAGTTAAAAACATTTCAACAATGTCATGTGATAGCATTCTCATTTGGTCAATTGCAATATAATTAGCAATGATAGAGAGAATGATAAGCTAATCATCAGGTTTAGTTAAAAAAATTCAAAGTCAAAGTCAGCTTTATTGTCAAAATTACTACGTGTTTATACATCCAGAAATCTTGAGATATCGTTTCCCGCAGTGTGACATACGTATATACATAAAACAAACAAAAAGGGTCTAGATAAACGGGGTATACAATTAAAAAATATATATATATTTAAAATGTTCAAAGTACAGTTTCAGTGCAGTAGCAGCGGAGATGGGCAGAAAAGTGACTGGTGCTGGATGAGGGAAGNACTTCTAACATGTTGTCATTGACATCCGCTTGAGGCCACAGTCCTGCACACTAAAGGGTTAACACTACGTCTACTTAAGGAGAAAGTGAATTTAAATTAAACCGTTAATTTAAATTCACTTTCTCCTTAAGTAGACGTAGTGTTAACCCTTTAGTGTGCAGGACTGTGGCCTCAAGCGGATGTCAATGACAACATGTTAGAAGTCCCGTTGTAACGAGCGTTAAAACTCCGAAACAGCGCGACCATAACCGGTAAAGGATGCAGTAAAAAATATAAACCTGAAGCATGATTGAACAACCTCTGCAGCTCGAGTCATCAATAACTCGTCAGATAAATGTCTGTCAGGTTATCATGAGGCAATGGAAATGTCCCCTGACGTAGTGCACTGAAAACAACAATTCGAGTGTCATGAGCAAAAATACGCACTTTAAGTTGACCGTGTGCAATTGCCTGAGAGGCTTTCCATCTCAATGCTGGTCAAATTTAAGGAAAAATGTGTTTGGAAAGTACTTTTAAATTCCCCCCTCGTCGCATGTAACAAAGAAACTTTGGGGTAAATATATTAAATAACTCTGCTGTGCGTTCTGTTCCTCAATACAACACACCTGTCTCCAGATCACGAACCAACTCACGTTTCCACCATTCAGTTCTGTTACATTAAGACGGACAGGAAGTACACACTAAAGGGAACAGTAGAAGAAGACAGAAAGTTTTTGTTGTACATTGACAAAACGCAACTTCCTGTGCATCCGTCTCAAAACCTGACAAATTTGATAAGAAATGGGAAAATGGGTTAAAAAAAAAACACCTTTAAAAATGCACTACTGGTCACAAAGAGTATCAATGAAAACCTATCTAGCTCACAAACTAAACATGCGTATTTTAAAAAGTTGTATAAAAAGACTTCTCTGGACAAAGATCCAAAGGAAAAAGCATCAACTCTCCAAGTGTATTCTGGGAGTTGCAGTTTAACACTGGTGGTTTAAGGCCCCGTATGCTAATGCTACTACAATCTGACTTTCCCCCCTTCAAGGTCACGGGGTCACATTCTGCTGATCTGGGAACAGTTTATCACCGTGAAGCCATTGAACCCATCGCTAAAACTCCTATAGAGAGAGACCCTGGCCAGAACTCCCAGTAAAGAAGTCAGTATCCAGTTATCAATACCTCGTCAGAGATTAAGCAACATTTTTAAAGTGAGAGAGATTTGCTAAAAAAATAATAACTTTTGAACTAAAAAAGATTTGTTGATTCACAAGTTTTGCCTTAAAATCATTGAAAAACTCAGTTGAAAGTGTTTTTAAGTCCAAAAAAAACTGATGTAGAAATCCATATTTTTTATAACAGTGACACATCTGCTGTTATTCTGCCGACAATAATTACTTTCCCATGCTTGGAGCACTTATGCAATTCATTTTGTAAAAGTAAATTCAAGTTTTTCCAAGGTCAGTCAAACTTAGTGGTAGTCTCAAACTATTTTTTGCCTTCAAATCATTGAAAGACTCCGTTTACATCACATGTCACTTGTTAGAAGCTTTTATCCAAAGAGACTCACATACTCAATACTGAGGGCAATCCCCACAGGAGCACTTTGGGGTGAAGTGTCTCAGGGACACAACGACATGCTGACTGCAGTGGGGTTTGAACCTGTGCTCCCCCAACACCAACGCACTGTCCACTGCGCCACACGCCTCCCCGTTTAAAAGTAAACATCCTGACGACAAACCAACGTATGAATCTGCTCCGATGAGACCTCGGACAGAACTCCCAGTAAAGACGGCAGTAAAAAGAAATCAGCAGCTAAAAACATTAAATATCCTAATACTGGGAATTGAAAAAAAGTGGTTTAAAGGTCAAAGATGGGTTCAGGTAGCAGTAAGACAGGAGAAAATGGATGAAAGGAATATAAAAAAGGTTAAAAAGTGTCTTAAGAATTATAATTTCACGGGAAGACTTGGGGTCGAGGAGTGGGAGAATCTGGTTCAGGATATTTCCAAATATCTGGAACAAACTCCCAGACTTTAAAATCCAGGCTGAAGACTTTTCTTTCTGCTTTTAATTGAACTCTTCACATCTCACACTAACTTTTACTCATGTACCCGTTATTCATGTTTCTTACTGCCTTTCATTTCTGTTAAGCACTTTGAATTGCCTCGTGTTGAAAAGTGCTCTATAGATAAACTGGCCTTGCTCCAGTTATCAATACGTCGCAATCCAAATGTTCCCCAATACCCAATAAAGATCTCACACCTGGGAAACTTATAAAACTGTTGATTCGCCAAATATCCACGCCTTAAACCCAACGAGACTCAACATGCCGTGTTATCTGAAGACTTCACACCCAACAAACACTTATCAACACCCAGCAGCTTCCACCCAAAGAGTTCACTTCAGTCAAACGTAATGAAGAACCAGCACAACAACTAACGATCCCTTCATGAGCTGTGGTGATCAGATCAGAGCCCCAGAGCAGTGACCCTGATAATGGGGTTGAAGCTAAAATCAAGTTTTATTATTACACTTATTATAGCATTATTTATATATCTATATATATATAGTTAAGGTACAAGAAAACCAATTTAGTTGATGCTCAAGGGCACCAGGGCAGGGCAGGAGGTGAACTGGGACCTCTCCAAGTAGAAGTCCACACTCCATATTTAGGTCTGGTCGGGGACTTGAACCGGCGACCGTACGGCTCACAGTCCAAGCCCCTACTGACTGAGATACTGCCAGATAAATAAGTAAAATGTTAGAAGTGTCAAGGTAAGAAGTCATCAGAGGCAGGTATATGGGGCTAAACATTATAATACAATACCAAAAATGTAAAAGAAATAGGAAAGAAATGTCATGTAGAGATTGCAATACAATTGATTTTAACCCTAAATATTCCTTTTCAATCATTAACCAAAAACCATGGATGTCTGTTATTCTATAAAATACATATTTCTTGGCCAATCAACTCAATTAGAGTTGGTGATTAACACGAGTTTAGGGTCATCTGTTGGTCAAATATTCCTTAACTTTCACTTGGGTTGTTGATAGAAACAGTACTTTGGATTTTCCATATTTTCAAAACGTTCACTTTAACAAAATGTTTGGTACTTGTTGACTTTAATATGGAAGTGTTACGTGTTTGCACTCCTTAATTAACAATTATTTTCACCCTTAATTGATCTGCAGGTTTCCTACTGTATGTTAAATGTAGAAAAACATTGAATGGAAGTCTTTGCACACAACATAATCTCTAAAGTCCATGAGAGTTGGTGATTAACACGTTTTGGGGATCTGTTTGTAAGATATTCCTTTGAGTTGAGTTGTTGATGGGAAACTCGGGGTTTGGATATTCCATATTTTAAAACCAATTATCAATAAACTGTCATTTGTTGGGTACTTTTTGGAATTTTGAGGTGTTACGTGTTTGCACTCCTAAATTAATTACTTTCACCCTTAATTGATCTGCAGGTTTCCTACTGTATGTTAAACGTAGAGAAAGATAGTGAAACTCATCAAAACCTCCCAGAGACGTTCAATACATGACAAAAACATCTTTGAATGGAAGTCTTTGCATATACAGAACATCATCGGAATAAATGCACACATGTTCAACTTGGCCAATAAAAAGGGAACAAGAATAATAATTGTTGGTGTCTATCTACGCTGGGATCCTGAGTCGTGGCTGATCCTGTTGCTGCGGTCCTGAGTCCTGGATCCCGAGTCCTGGACTTCGAGTCGTGGCTGAACCTGTCTCTGCGGT